CCACTGACAACCCAGCATCATTACTTGCCCTGTTCTCTCTATTCTGCTTACTCTGGCTGTGATTTTTGTGGCTGTCTTCTCTGTGAGAAAGTCTGCAACAGTTCAGAGTGAATGAGCATCCCTGGCAATATGCATGAGGATAATACTGCCTATTAAGAAGGAAAACGTGGTTGGTATAGTAGGACCTCACTTTAAAAATGAGGCTTATCATAGCTAGAGTAATGATAAGTAGGCCATCCAGCATCACTATGATTTGACAGATCATGATAGGTTTGTGTCTATTTGAGGATGAGAGGTCTGCTCTTTGCCCAATGTGTAACACAGCCATTGAAATGGAGTTTTATGCACATCCTGATGTCGCAAAAACCACCTGGGTTAGGGATGACTAAATACAAAACCCCAAGGGCCCAGCTACAGGCTGAGACAGTCCAGTCACTCCTGGCCCAACTTTTCTTTTTTTCCTGCCCAGAAAAGAGAGCAATGCTGAAAGCCCTTTCCTATGGGGTAAAGAGAGTGATGAGATATGAACAGAATCCTCCAAGTGTGTTCAATGCTTCCTGGGTCTTGAGGGGAAGCTCTTAGCTGAGGGAACTGGCTAGTTTGTGTCAGTACCAGATAAAGAATTTTTTTAAGACAGAGCATTAGAGGAAAGAAAAAAATTATTAAAAAAAATAATAAAAAAAAGGAGGGAGGGATATTTACAAGTGCATGAATGGAAGCTTTGTCAGGAGTTTTCTGGGGAGATAAGGAGCTGGACTGGCCCATCTCTAAGCAGCATGGACACACTCACTGCCTTTGAGTCTCTCAGGAAAGAGCAAAAGGAGCTGCTGACATTTCTGCTTAAAAGGAAGAATCAATGAATCTTTGTTTCCCACTGCCTGCTTGTTTGACCTTCTTGTGTTGTGGAATAGAAAAGAAATAAAAGAGAACGGGTGAGGGGAGAGGGGATTCGTGTTAATAAAATCCAAGACAAGATCACAGCCCTCTGATCATCGCTGGAGATGCCATTATTTGGTTCTTGTCCTATTTGCTGCTGTTGCTCATTTCTGATTCTTGCCTTGCTGTAATAAGTCACACTCTTTCCAGCCATCATCCCTGTATTGACAGGCAAATGTCACCCACGTTTGATTGACGTCCATTGCTCCTGAATACAGAAGTATGATTTAGGAATCAATTCTGTTTGTTTATTTAAACAGCTCTTTGTGTACCTTGTATGTCTGTAAGCAGGACAAGTTCCTTAATATTTTCTCAGCAGCAATGCCACTAATATTGCACATTCACCTTCCCACTCAGTCACAGAGGTGCTCACCAGACCTTGGGGGAGGAGAAGACTTTCATGAACACACACACACACACAAAGAAAAGAAAAGAGAAAACCCCAAGTTTTAACAAAATGCTTTGCTGCCCCCAAGTTAAACCAAAGAGATCTCTTCCTCAGGTCTAGGCATCTGTTGATTTGCATATGCCCCGCACTTTTCTCTGGCTTCTAAACAAAAGGGAACACTTTCCCTAGGTGTCAGTTTGCAAGCAAAGCAGTGGCTGGCTTTAACACCAGGAAACACTGCTGCCAGTGATGAGTATGTCAATTTTAATTCACAGGAAGAACTATTTCTTTCAGTGTCTTTATGGTTGTAATCGGGGTGAGGGGGAAGAGAGAGATCCGAAATTGCCAGAGATGTTAATCTCTATTATTGTGGGAGATATATTTTCAAATAACTTCTACTTGAACAATGGGTAAAGCATCTTTGCATTTAAAGAGGTATTTCCCATAAAACACCAACATGGTAGGGTGGCCTCAGGGAAGCGTTAAGCAGGAGGTGGATTGACCTTTTAATTCTCGATTGGTGACCTGAAGGGTATCCGGAGGCTGTTAAGCACATCTCTTCCCTTTGGTTTGCTCCAGGAAGAGCTGTCATCGCAAGATGCAGCTAGTGAGTGAGGCTCACGATTTCGCTGTTCATCCATTTGCGGGAGGGGTGGGGGAGGGAGATAAGAAAAAAAATATGTATTTCCCACACTGACAGAGTAATGCCAAACTCTCTGCGAGTGGGAAGAGCAGAGCAGATGCTGGAATGAGATGCCAAAGCAGCTCCCCTTTCCCCTGCGCTTTTGGGTGCCTATAAATTGCTCCAGCGCGCTCGTCAGCCTCCTCCTCTCCTGGCAGGTGGCACCCGGGCAGGATCCCGCTCTCCCTTCGGCTCCGGCTCCGGCTTCGGCGCGGCGGCGCGGACACTGGGCGGCGGGCACCGGGGCGGCCGGGAGGCGCGTCCCCGCTGAGGACAGTCGTCTCTGCGAAGAAAAAAAAAGAGAGAGAGTGAGAGCGAGCAGGCGAGCGAGGCGATCGCGAGAGGAAAGGCAAGTTCCAGGGAAAGTTGACTCGGACTGGCACAGCCTGCAAAAAAAAAAAGTCGATCGCCAGCGG